TCCAGGGGTTTAATTTTCTCCCCACGCTGCTAACATTTTTGCATTCCTGCATGTGCCTCTTGCCCCACCTCAAAGGGGTTTGAGACAGGGCAAGAGGCATGTGCACACTCATCTGGATGCACCCAACTTGTTCATATCGAACGCTCGAATTCTGGTGCTAGTGGCTGAGTTTGGAAAAAGGTTACAATGGCGTACACAGCACTGTTTATCTCTCCACTCTGATCTCTTTAGGAAGTGTATTAATGGAAATGCATTAAACAAACACCCTCCCTGATTTCACGCTTAAACATTGGTACAAAGTGTAGAAAAGAAGCTCAAACGATAAAGATGCAGTCTAACTGATAATTACCACTCATGATTTATCTCTTTGGTGAGTTAATAACTAGCGCTGATTGGAATGTAATTCCATTGCACAGCAATTTGTGGGGGGTTGAAATCTGTTTTTGTTCAGCATTGGAAGGAAGACAAAAAAATCTTTTCCAACTTCCTGCAGAAAGAAAATATAATGGACCAAATTTAGGAGCGAGGTGTTGGGTTTTTTTTGGAGGGGGTGGGAAGGCTGGGAGGATGGGGAGGGAGCAAGTTATTTGTGTGAAGAATAGCTAGAAGTAGAGAGGGTACCAGTGCCAAGTTGTATAGCCTGGACCAATTTAGTATTCAAGGGATGTGTAAAATGAGTGTAACACTTGAAGGAAAGAGAACAGCGATGTAGCAGGAAATGCAATAAATGGAAAAGGGCAAAATAAAACAGCTCCCCAGTTTGTCTTATACTTGCTTGTTAGTTGTTTTTCTGGCTACATTCCCCATCACCTGCTGAATATGCAACTTCTACTGGTGTTAAATATGCACTGAAGCCAAACAGAGCAAGTTACACTTTCCCTCTAACATCTGGTTTTTGACTTGTTGCTACTTAATCCTTCAATAAATTTGTTACAAGGTCTCTTTAACTAAAGAGCTCTTCTCTGCAGCGAAAGTGTTCTGTCCTCTGAGTACAACAGCTGGAAAAATACATGGCCTAAACTTGCCAAATTACAAATCTCTCCCTTCCGTTTCCCCAATCTTGACAGAGCTTCCTGAGAGCATCTTCACAGCTCTATAAAACTAACAGGTAATGCCTTCTCTTGAAGAGGGCAAGTTAGGAGGTCTTGTCCGAAGTCAGGAAGGTTTGTGTACAGATACTGAATTATTTTTAAGCAATAAGCTTATTACTTTGCTTCTATCTTGTTGCTTATCTACTCACAATACCCTGTTGAACCGACCATTAGGCCTCCCAGTTGCACGATAACAGCCAGTGCTTGTTGCAACTACTCTTGCTGCTGGAAGTCCTTGCCTACTAAGGTTTTTATATGGGTAGGTCATTGCATGCAAGTCGTTTGCCTTAGGATTGAGCATCCCCATTATGAGACCTCATCTACACTAGAAAATTGCATCAGCTTAATTAAATTGATTAAAAGAAATCAATAGAGTTAAAGTGGTGCAGACCCTAAGGTGGATACACTTAGATCAATTTAAAGCTTGCACATATCAGTTTGCCTATAATTTGGAAAACTCCTGTAAGCAAAGGCTTAAGCCTATTTAGGTTACCAAATCAAGATAAGCTGATAAAAGTCTGCTTAGAGCGATCTAAATATGTTGACATTATGCGTTTGCAGCAATTTAACTAAAATCAATTGCTATTGATTCTAGCTAAACTGGTGCAACTTTTTTTTTCACACAGACAAGTCTCAGCCTCAGGATATATCCATGCTATGTCAGTGTGTGCTTTGCTCTCCTTTGCTGCATGATTAATTATTTCAGTATGTGCAAGTTGCTATTAAAATAGACCAAACAGGTAGGTTTAAGAAGGAAGTTTTTTAAAAGCATAAACTCTTCCCCTGCTAATGATGAAAACAGCATCTGGCTGCTTATAAATGGGAGAGCTGCTGTTTTGCTGCAACTTACCAGCCTATTTGGACAGCACTGAACTACCAGCTTTTCTCACCTGTAATAAGTGTAAGGAGTGAGATTTGGTATCTCCAGCATCTGGGCATCAGGCTCATTCTCCACCTCGTACAAACTCACCCACTCCTCCTCGTCTCCAAGAACACCAACCTGTGTGTTGGAAATGCGAAAACAAGCATGAATCAGATAACGTAATGTCCACATCTGCAATGCTGATCGTCACTGCTGTGGAAGGCCTCATAGCTTAAACTCCCCCCAATCTGTATATTTTATACGTTGTGGCAGTAAAAATGATACATATGAAACAGCTGCACTGCCAGGCTTCCTTATGTCTGCTAGGACTTCACTGCTGATTCTCTGGGGCAGAATCTAGAAAAGAGAAATGTCATAACGGAGAAGTTAAATCATGTTTGAACTGCCTAGGAGTACTGACAATGTAGAAGTCTTGACCAGTAGTAGAGCTGAACCAGAGAACAGAGTTGATAATAATAACTTTCAGGCAGATCAACTTAGTTGGACGAAGAGGCAAAGCATGTGTCTCCAGAAAATCAGAGAGAGAAATGAAGGAAGGCAAAGAACAAAGGATCATTAGCCTTTATGGTTGTCCTGCACTGAGATCATGCCCTCCTACATGCAGTGCTTTGTATTAATTAAATCACCATACATAACCAAGAGCCAGCTCAGCACAGCCCCTCAGCTACGGAAGTGCTAGTAGGGGCAGAATAATAATAGGATGGTAAAACATCACTTTCCATATGCCATCTCTGGGCATACGGCACTGAAATGTACCCTGACATCTCGTGGGAAGAGCACTCGGCCATATCCGAATGGTCGCAAAGCTTCCTCATGTGCGTGAATGAGCTCTGTCTGACTCAAGAAGTCTATGGACTGACGAGAGGCAAAGTGCTGCTCGACCTGGTACTGGCAATGGGGGATGACTTAATTAGCGACCTAATGATCAAAGGGAAGCTGGGAGACAGCAGCCATGGCTGATTGCCTTCACCAACCACCATAAAGCAGGCAAGTCAGTCAGCAAAGCAGAAGTCCTCGACTTCAGGAAAGCTGACTTTGACAAGCTCAGGAGGCTTGTTGGCAAGGCCCTAAGGAACCGTGACCCAAAGGGGAGGGGAGTTCAGGAAGAGTGGTTGCTCCTCAAGGGAACGATCCTGAAAGCACAAGCAATGTCTATCCCATCTCAGACGAAAGGCAGCAAAAAGGCATAGCAGCCCCCTTGGCTCTGCAGGGAACTAGTGGACCTCCTGCGTCTAAAAAGAAAGGCCTATAATGGATGGAGGCCCGGATCCACCCAAAAGGAGGAATACTCTGCGCTGGTCCAGACCTGTAGGGAGCAAACCAGGAAAGCCAAGGCTGTGACTAAACTCCAACTGGCTACACGTATCAAGGACAATAAAAAGTCCTTTTTTTTAGATATGTGGGGAGCCAGAGGAAAAGCAAGAGTAACACTGGACCCCTGCTAAACCATGCGAGTCAAATGACAACCGACGCCCAGGAAAAAGCCAACCTGCTCAGCAGGTATTTTGCATTGGTTTTTCCACCAGCCCCAATATGGTATGGGATGGCCAGGGCGAAGGAGAACTATTACCTCATATCACTGTTGACCATGTGCAGGAACACCTCGAGAGGTTGGACACCCTCAAGTCAGCTGGCCTGGACAGCTTACACCCCAGGTTACTTAAAGAGCTGGCAAGCATCATAGCTCAGCCCCTGGCACGGATCCTCGAGAACTTGTGGCGCTCAGGCAAAGTGCCCAAGGATTAGAAGAAGGCCAATGTGGTGCCTATCTTCAAGAAAGGGAGGAAAGTTGATCTGGGGAACTACAGACCCATCAGCCTGACCTCCCCATCCCCGGGAAGATCTTGAAGAAAATCATCAAAGAGACCATTCTTGACAAACTGGCTGAAGACAACTTCTTGACCAACAGCCCACACGGGTTTGTTGCGGGTAGGTCTTGCCTGACCAATCTCATCTCCTTTTACGACCAGGTGACCTATCACCTGGACAAGGGAGAAGAGATTTATGCCATATATCTCGACTTTAAAAAAGCTTTCGATCTGGTATCCCACAATCATCTGACAGAAAAACTGGCCAACTGTGGCCTCAGCTACATCACAGTCTGCTGGCTGAAGAATTGGCTTTGAGGTTGGACCCAGAGAGTCATAGTTGATGGAAGTCAATCATTGTGGTGGGCCGTGACAAGTGGGGTCCCCCAAGACCTTGACCTTGGGCCTATCCTTTTCAACATCTTAATTAATGATGCGGACATTGGTGTCAGGAGTGGATTGGCTGAGTTCACTGATGACACCAAACTCTGGGGTAAAGCGTCCACACCCAAGGACAGGATAGTAATCCAAGCCGACTTTGACAGGCTCGGAAAATGAGCGGATGAAAACCTGATGGCCTTCAACTCTGAAAAATGCAAGGTACTCCACCTTGGGAAGAAAAACCCACAGCATGCTCACTGTATCCAATTCTGGGCTCCACAATTCAAAAAGGATGTGGAGAAGCTTGAGAGGGTTCAGAGGAGAGCCATGCACATGATCAGAGGGCATGAAAACAGGCCTTATGATGAGAGGCTGAGAGCTATGGGACTCTTCAGCCTGGAAAAGCGCA